CACCTCTCCTGTGAAGAAAGGCTGAGAGAGTTGGGGTTGTTCAGCCTGGAGAAGAGAAGGCTTCGGGGAGACCTTATTGCAGCCTATCGGTACTTAAAGGGGGCGTATAAAAAAGATGGGGGCAGACTTTTTAGCAGGGCCTGTTGCAACAGGACAAGGGGATGTGGTTTTAAACTAAAGGGGGGTAGATTTAGACCAGATATAAGGAAGAAATGTTTTACGCTGGGTGGTGAAGCCAACCCAAACTAGTCCATGATTCTATGATTGTTCAAATGTATCTGCAAAGCTCCTGGTTAAGGCCCAATCTTGCAGGGCTTCATGGGCCAAATGGTTTAGGGAACTGCTCACCTCTTTGAAATCAATGACGTTGATCTCCTGTGTGCTGAGCTCAGTGACACAGCCGTTGCTGTCCTCACACCTGACAGACACGTTCATGCTATAGCCGGTGGCCTTGATGTTCAAGGAGAGGGGCTGGGTCTTCCTCTTGACATCGCACTTGAGGTTAAAGACCGCCTCTCCTTCTAGCGTTGGTGTGAAGACGACTGTAACGGGAAACCTGGGGAGAGAAGACCCTTTTTGCTCCGTTCACTGTCTGTCAGCTTTCTTGGCCCCACATTGCCTGCTCTATGGGAGAGCAGCTGTGCAATGGCTGTGGTGAGACCCCAGGCCTGGGAGAAGCCAGGAGCAGCACCCTGCCCTTCCAGGGCCTTCCACTACGGAGCAAGCCCTGGTGAGAACTGTTTGGGGTATGACGATCCCATGCAATGAAATGGCAGAGGATACAACAACAAGCCAGCGAACCCTGAGCTAACGCTGACCTTACTGCCCTGCCCATATGCTGCAGGGCAGCACTGGGTTGAGACCCCACTTCTGTCCCAAACACAGAGGAGGGCACTCACAGAGATCCCCAATCTCTCCGATCTATATGACAAGGGTAACATCCTCTTTGCAAAGAGGAATCGCCCAGCTCTCGTGACAGCAGTACAACGTGGGTGCCACCAAACTGCCTCTTTGTAATTTCTACGGGTAATTTCTGGGTACGTGATCAAACTCAACCAAACTACAGAGATTTAAGGAATTGCCACTTCTCAGGTCAGCACAGAAACTGATACAGGATGCTCTCTTATCTTGCACCCTGTGGCAAGCCAAAGTTCAGCATCTTTTAAGCCACAGCAAAGCTTCCCAGAACTAATGCATTCTCCTTACACCCAGGCACGCTATGAGTGGGCACAGGGATATCCGCGGTGGATCAGCAGATGAGCTGGTGACCTGCTATGCCGCTTGAACTCATAATCATGTCTGATCACAAGTCATGGCCGCAGTTCACAAGAAAAGAGCATCCATTTTCTGACAGGTGATCCTGCAAAACACAGCTAGTTGTGTGAGCCTGTTGCTGTCCCCCATGATGCGCTTAAATGCTGCCTGCGGTGCTGCTTGTGTGCTTTGCTGCTCTTGGCGGCTTTGCACAGACCATGCGTGGTGGGCTCTGTCATTAAAGGAACACAGGGAAGAGAGGAGACCTTGCATACTTAAGGCTGCTGGCTCAGGGAATCACAGGGTTAAAACCCCCAAACATGCTTTTGTCATCAAAACTAGAAGATCCAAAGCCTGAATTTCTCCTGGAAGGGGGCCTGGAAGACCGGGGTAGCCCCGACGCAGCCACTTTATGGAGAAACCTGCAGCTTCGTGGTGTCCCCCATTGGGAAGGAACAAAACAAGGCAGATGTATGCTGTTGCTGAGAGTCACCTGGTGACTGCGGAGGGGAGAAAGCCTCAAAAGCAAAATGACAGTGCAACGTTTGGCACGCAGGAGAGGGAACCTGGCCTGTGAGCCCTGTTACCTTGAAAGAGGAGCAATGGAGCCTTCCATGGGCTCTATTTTCACAGAGGCGTTGCATCCCTCTGAGAAGAGAGAGCTTTCTCTGAAAGCAAAGCTGAAGGCTTCCTTCTCACTGTTGATCATATAGATAGTCTGGTGTACCTCGTGCCCTAGGGAGAGGACAAAGCAGCCGCTGAAAACCTTTTGTTCCTCTGGCCACCAGACCACCACTGCCCACTGTGTTCCTGCCTGCCGGCTGAGCCCAGCAGACAATTTGCAGCGAGGAGCATTGCCTGCAGCATGGCATGCTCAGGATGCCAACATGGAAACGTACTTCTGACCCCCTGGGCACCCCTGCATCACCCCCAAATCCCCTCTTGGAAACAGCCCCAACTACATGCCATGTCCCTGACATACGCCTGCCTGCCTTCCCCTTCCATTCCCTCGTACACTTGGGTGCCAGGAGCTGGATCCTCTGCTCAGAAGAGCCCATTTCCATTTCCAGCTTCCTCGTGGGAGCCTGCTGGAATAACAGGACTGCTGGGCCCCTGGAGAGGTACATTTCTGAGCATGTAAGGTATAACCACTGTGCTCACCAATTAACAGCAAGTGGAAGTTCAGGTGGGATCTGTCCAGAGTCACTAGCGGGTCGGTGGCATTGCCCACCAACAGGAACGGGACTGAAATGCTCTGCTCAGGGATTGTGAAGACCCAGAATGATTCTGTGATGTCCAGGTGCCGGGGGATGAATTCAAACTTCATCTGTGGGAGAAAGAGGCAAATGAAGGGAAGTTGCTGCCCTTGGCAGGGTAAGGGGAGGGGGGTGCAGTCTATACCACCAAGAAACCCCAGGAACCTCCACCTTATGTTGCTGTGAGCTCAGAGGTAGGCTGCTGTGCCACTTACAGCCCAAAAGCACGGCAGATGTGGGGTACGGGGTGAGAACAGGTTCATCTGCCAGTTCATTTACACTGCAGTCAAAGGTTTCTTCACGGTCTTGGCAAGCTCACAGTGAGATGGGACGCCCAGTAAGCGTAGACATAGCTGGTGTTAAACTGGCATACATGTGTACTGGATCCACCTTCTTAATTTTCTGTACCCACCTCTGCTTTCTTCCCTGGCTGGATCTGACCTCTCTCCGTGAGGCAGAAGAAAGCCACCTGTTCTGGTGGGGCCTCAGGGTCTTGGCAAGTCCACTGGATGGAATACGCGGAACTGGTTGGGTTCATAACCATGAAGGTCCTGGGAACAGAAAGCAAAAAGAATACTAAGGGGGCATTGGGATGTTAATGAGTCTGTCCTGTAGCAGACTTCAGGCGCTGCCAGTCCTGGACACCGTCTGGAAGGAGTTATTTGGTGTAGGGGAACAACGCTGGGAGCACAAACATTTCACCTGCTTTCTAGGGGCCCTGTTTGTCTCTCAGGTGGCTAAAAATTAACGGCTATCAACAAAGAAATTAACGAAGGAATTAGGCAAACTCTTGCATGTTAAAATGGTAAGAGCAAGTGAAATGGTAAAATCAAGTCCAGTAAGACTCCTTTGGAAGATGGTGTTCTCTGTTGTGGTCACAGCCTTCACTGACCCCATCTGACTGGTATCCCAAAGGAGCAAGAATGCCCTGAGGATGCTCTTCAAAGGGACAAAGGTTGTATTGGCCACGAAGCACAGGCTGGGGATACGTGGTCTTCCCAGAATGACCCATACCTTATTGAAGAAAGGGACAAAGAGAACAAAAAATTGGCCAGTTGGTCTTCACTGACCAGCTTGTTCCAGCCCCAAAACGGTGGCCAAGTGTCAGCAGATCACAAACAAGGTACAGATGTGCCTTGGGGCTTGGAAGAGTAGCTGGAGAGGTCTCTGGTTAAGGGGGATGACTAGAAGACCATCAACAGGAGAAGCCATGCCCACACCTACCTGCTGTTCCTGCCACACACTCCAATTGCCGCAAACTCAACCACTCTTGTGTTGAGATCTAACGTTGCCCCCTTTGGTCCCTGCAACTCTGGGTTGCGCCTTTTTGCAGTGATGTAGTCAGAGTCTTCCAGTTCAAAGTGGCAGTTTGGCATCAGGCTTCTCCCCTTCACAACCACCTCTGGGCCCTTCTGATTTGGCTTCAGGTTAGGAATACTAGGAAAAAAGGGACCGGTATTAGCCAGACTAACGTTTCCAGACAGCCAGCTGCTTGCCTGTCTCCTTGTACAGCACAGAGTGTTGCATCCCCTCTCCGTGCAAGCACTGAGCAGCAAATCGAACAGAATTGCACTGCCTGCCTCGAAGGCAGCGGAGGTGAAATGGCAGAAACATGAACAGTTAGGTGTCTAGAGGCCAACTGCAGCACACAGGTTTCTATGTAGATAAGGAGGCCGTGCTTGTTTGATAGGGAAGCATAGCTAGGGACCGGCTGGCCCCTTGACAGACTTTCTGGATCTCTCATTCCAGATTTTGCAACCCTCCAGGAGCTTAATATTTCATACAATGTCTTTTCCCAGTGTCTCCATACCTGCTTCTACCAAAGCCGGATGATCATCTTTCTTTGCTCCCGTGTGCTGGCTGTTTCGCTGCCTCTCTGGGGCTGGCTGTCCCACCCACCCCAATCAGAGGCAATACCACGACTATCCATCGGTAGCATGAGTTGAAAAGTGAGCAAGCCTCGATGTTTCCTACCTGCAGAGCATACGGCTCTCAAAGTCCCCCACGTACGTCGGAGAGAACTTCATCTGGAAGAGCTGCTCCTGGCCGGCAGGGATGGTGCCGCTGCAAGGCTCGACAGAGAACAGCGGGGTGGCACTGACAGTGCTCAGAGACGAGCTCAGGGAAGAAGAGACCTGCTCCAGGGTGCGGCCCGGCTGGCTCAAACAACGGCTAGACTGGAGCTTCCCAGAGGCACCAGAAGTGGAGGAGAGGAAATCCCCTGCGGTAAGGAAGAGGTTAGCGGGACATCTTCTTTCAAGAAGGAAGTCCTCTGTTCCCAGCACCTCTGCCTCCTGCTGCAGGTGAACAGAAGGGAGCTGGGATGCACTTGGAGCATCCCTGGCCAAGTGCCTTCAGCAGGACTCCCCGTGATGAGGAACAGGGAGAGCGGTCAGGTTGCTTTTTGCTTCTGTGTTACTGCTTGCTAAAATCGTAATCCCAGAAAGTCCCGGGGACAGGTGTGAAAGTGAGAACAGACAGGAGGGAGAACAGGGTGAGGGGCAGCAAGTACAGTGAGAAGGCCCGGCAGAGACCCAGAGAACTGCTTAAATCAAAACACACCGCTGAACATCACTCTGTAAAGACGCTTGGATGATGGACAGGAAGGCTATGTCTGTTAGCAAATTAAATGGGCCCCAGCTGCTTCACTCCATGCTCTTAAACTCTCTATCTCCAGGACTGGGTAGCTAGATGCAGACTTCTCCTGCAGTATGGTTTCTGCCAGCGTTCACTCCCAAACCGTACTACTAAACAGTAGAGGTGACGGTTACAGCATCTGGGAAAATTTCGGGGCGCCATTTCACGTCCCAGTACAGCCAGCCTCAGCGCTTAGCATTCAGGACAGTGGTAAGTCCTGCTCCCCTGTTGCCTACAGAACTGAATTTTGGTTGTTGTGTGTGGCGGAGAGAAGGCTTTGGGGAACAGCGCTGCTGTTTTTTTAACAGAGCGCTGCTCTGTCCTTCACACCCTTTCCTTCCTTCCTCTTTGTCAGGCTTTCATAACCGACGACCAGACAGCTAATGGCACAGCCCAGCAGACCGGCTTCAGCACGAGTGTGCCCTGTGCCGGAGAAAAGCCAACGCCAGGACCCACAGGAGAGGGAGATAAGCACATTCAGAGCGTCAAGGACTTTGACTGAGGTCCCCCATCTTGACCATCAGGCAAGCTGCCTGTGCTAGGAAACGCAAGGGTTGACAGCTCTCCTCACTCCTGTTCCTGATGAGACCTCTTGGACACAGAGCCCTGTTTCCCCGCAGAACCACGCTGCTCCCAAGGAGACCGTGCGCTTAGACGCAAAACACATTACTGCAGGTTAATGAATCACTGCCCCGCTGTTGAGCTCCAACGGCTGCTGTGAGCGGGGTCTCTGCCTGCAGCAAACACTCTGGTGCCTGAGCTAGGAGGGTTAATTTTAGACAACGACTTTGCATTTGCCCTGGACTGCGGAATTGCACACAGATAGTGACTGCAGGTCAGCTAACTCGTTGTTACACCATCAATTTTCCCAGTCTCAGAGGCTTCCCAAAGAGGTGCCCTGATGTCCCCATTCCCAGTCCTGACCCACCATATGGCTCTCCCCTGAGCTCCTGTGCAGAGCACAAGTGTCAGAGCAAGCGTAGGAGGGTCTGAAAGGCAGAGAGGGGGCAAGGAGAAAGTCTCCAGCTGGAGCTGGGAAGATGCTGATGAAAGTGGAGGACTGGACAGGGATGAAAAAAATCAATTCATGTTTCAGGGTGAAGTGGCATGGTCTTCCCCCCCAGCCCTCAGCTACCGATTGTAACGCTCCGGGCAACCCCAGCTGCCACAGAGAGCTAGTGCCTTACCGTCCAGACTGGGCGGGAGCAGCTCCCCTGCATGGCTCACTGCCCTTTCGTCCTCCACAGCCACCATCCAGGTGTATTCCAGGGCCACACTCCCTCTATTGGACAGCTGGAAACTGAAAAGAAGGAGGAATAAAGAGGAAAAGTCTAATAAATACAAAGTGAGTAGAAAAGCAACACTGTACGGTGGGCTCCTGGTGTCCCTTTCTTTATGCTGAGTAGCGTCTTCTTCCCCAGACAGCTCTGCCATGTCTACCTGGGCTGCCCCAAGACAAAGTATTTCAAAGTTTGGAAGTTAAAGGGAAAAGGGCAGGCATGGTGCCCAGGAGACTCAATCCAAGGGTCTTATTCTGGTCTTTCTGTCTCAGTTTGACATTATTTTGATGGTGCACTCGTCCTCGAGCAGATGAGGACAGGCAACATGCAATGAAAGCAAAACTATGGTCGTTCTCAGCAGAACAACCTCTCCTGACACATCTTGGCAGGACGGTGGCCACCGTCTCCTGCTTGGCTTTGTGTGCAGATATGTGGGCCCCAGCACCCAGCCAGGACTTGGAAAGGATGAAACAAAATATTATTTGTTTAAAGGGAAGAACAGCAGGTGAGACTGAACGTAAAGCCTTAGAGGAACTCAGGTCCACATGTGGGAGATCTCCAGGCCCCCAGGATGTGTGGAAGCTGAAACCTCAGACCCAGCAAGCAGCAGCATCCCCCTCCAAGGCTGATCAGCCTGCTGGAGATTAGAAGAGGTTTATTAAGTGGCTGAGCAATGAGCACGTCAGTGTAACCTCTGCTGGCACAGGACCATGAGTAGAAGGAAAAGCAGAGGCCACCGGAGAGCACAGCGTGGCTCTGGGGAAGCGGACACTGGGTCAGCCCTGGGCAAAGGCAGCTCCCACTCGCGGTCCTTGCCTGGCCTCCAGCACTCACGTGAATGTCCTCGTCTGGAAGAGCAAGGTCTCCTTGAACTGAATCACGTCCGTATCCAGCTTGAACTCAGCATAGTCAACGACAGCACTGAGGCGAAGCTCCACCTCGCGGCTGCTCTTCTCCAGGACAGTGTGAGCTGGTTCTGGGTCGGTCTCGATCACCTCCAAACAGGACAGGGAAGAATCACTGAGCAGAGCCCAGAAAGCCAGACTGAGCAGGGAGTCTTTCGGCCTCCAAAATCAGCCGTGTTATAGGGGCTAGGAAGGACCGTTCCCATTTATTTCCCTGGAAAGATGACAAAATTTGACCCTTCCGCTATAGTATTTGTTTCTACCTACTGATCAAAGCAATCACCACCACGACTGCGAATACACCCATGGGGACTATGGCTGGGTATCAGTCCCTGTGTTTCAACCCTGTAGAGCGTCTGACCTTTTTCCTGGCCCCCTGTAAATCCAACAGGCCTCTAAATTAGGATTAAGTTCCCCTCCTGGAGCTCTGTGGATGGAGAACCCCAAGAATGAACAAACCTAGAAAGCACCTTTTCCTTCTTGTCTTATATCCTGATTTCGGCTGGGATAGAGTTAATTTTCTTCCTAGGAGCTGGTACAGTGCTGTGTTTTGGATTTAGGATGAGAACAATGTTGATAACACACCGATGTTTTAGTTGTTGCTAAGCAGTGCTTACACCAGTCAAGGACTTTTCAGCTTCCCATGCCCTGCCGACTGAGAAGGCTGGAGGTGCACAAGAAGCTGGGAGGGGGCACAGCCAGGACAGCTGACCCCAACTGGCCACAGGGAC